GTCGTCAAAGCTCGCTCGACTCCCTGAGCACGGCAGCGTCTCGGCGGCTCCCGCGGCCGTTTGGCTCGGCTTCGGCGCGCTGCTCTCAAGGCGGATTGCTTTGTCGGTTTCTGCAGCTTAGCTTCGACGGTGGGGAACTCGGCGATTTTTTGAGGACATGGCTTTGTTTTCGAGGGGGTTCTTAGGTGCTGGGGCGCATGGCGCCGAGGGAGCTTCGCCGGGGTGTGTCGCTCGCGATTGGGGGCTGACGGTTCGTGATCGTTGCAGTCGAAGGTGCTTGTGGTCGTGCGAGCTACCTATTTCAGGTACTTAGGTAGGTAAGTAAGGTACTTGGGTAAGGAGAGATGTCGTCGGATGGGCGGTGTCCGTAGTCAACTGGAAGGCAGGCGTGTCGGCTTGTCGCTGGTGGGTTTGGAAAGCAGTGACGAAGGCGAGTGATTGTGACGAGGCAGGTGCTGGTCCCGCTACATGCATATGTGCATAGGCGATTCCGCACCCTGTGTGCTACGCCCCACGCCAACTCGAGATCGTATTTCAGAACACAGTCAAGACGCCAGCACAGATAAATCTGCTTGAGGTGCTGCGAATTTCGCCGGGTATGATTAGGCACTTCAAAATGCACTCTATTCTTCAGGCTGAGAAAAAGAAACCACAACCCTGACGGGCACCTCGGACGGTGGCCATTCGTTCAGGCCTCAGCCTCCAGGCAGGTCCAGCGCAGTCAGTCGGTCCAGATCCGAAGACAGCTATACCACCACGCGGGAAAGGGGCTGTTAGCAGAAGAGCCTCGTCGAATGACGAGTTGTTGAGCCTCTCTACAGGGCACATGATGAAGCAGGCTACGAGGGTTCAAATGCTACGAGGAGACGCTTACCAGCCTCCATGTTCTGGCCGGCCATGGCCCAGGATGTAACCTCATATATCTTGGGATACTACCAGTGTACCAGCCAGGCCCCAATAAGCCAAAAGTACCCCTATCAAGTCTTGAGGCTTTGGAGCCATTTCAACTCAAGGGAATTAAATACCTGGGACCCTTGACGATAGCCGTAAGAGGGAATCGATACTAGATCATTCTTATGGACACTCTCGTAAGCACGTACAGGTATAGTTAGTATTGGGTTGGGAGCTATAGCCTCGGTATGGTCCCATTGCTGTGAGGAGCACCTCCAATGTCTGTATCCACCAGAATGAGGGGTGAAGTCAGATCAATCTAATTGCATCGCGTGCCATTCTTGCTTGTACACCAAGGCCCCCCAGGATTGGGGCTGCATCCGGGTTCTCAGCTGCCCGAAGGTTCGCCGCCGGGGCTAGGAAGTCAAGGACGGGTACAACCATGCTGGTCGCAGTGTTCTTGCGTACCATGAAGGGTATTAAATCCAGTTACTTCAAGGCTCGTGTTCTAAAGTGTACAGAAACTCTACAGGAAAAGAAAGGCCTTCATTTCTAGCCGCTTTACAACGCGGTCAGGATGCGGGCTCCTGCAACAAGTCTACGCCATTTAACCATCAATCTCAACCGCGTACATGGCCTCCTCCAGCCAGGACGCTCTTCGAGCGCCATCAGCGAAGCCGCGTCTTCTGTCTGCTCCGTGGCTGACCCGCCCGACAATGGCGAATACGCCCACGGCACCATAAACTGCGAAGGACACACCTCTGACCGGTAGTAGTCGTCCTCGCCCGCCTCAAGATGCGCGCCGGCTCAAAGTCGGCGACGTGTAGCGAGTACCAGTCCCCGTACCAGCGACTCGTCGTTTCGCCTATCCACTCGCCCGTCGGCGCGCAGATGACCCTGACATTGGACCTCGGACAGCGGGGCCCAAAGTACGTGTCGCCGATGAAGCCCGTCCACAAAGCGAGGTCAAAGTTGACGACGAGGTCGAAGCGCCGCAGCTGCGGAAAGGCGCCGAAGCCCTGCAGCGAGAAAAGCAGGCAGTTGTCGCTGATCCAGCTGAAGTCGTCGCCCATGGCCTCGGCCTGCAGGGACTGGATCGAGGCGCGCTCGGGAAAGACGCTGTACAGGTCGTCTCTGCAGATGTGCGCGCAGTCTACGTGGATCGTGTCGAGGTCAAAGTTGGCCCAGGCGTAGCGAGGCGGGCCGCCGCCGCTGAGGAACGCTTTCTCGTACGGCCCTGAGGTTCTCGCCTCGCGACATGCTTGCGTTAAAGGGGGTGGTTTGGTCGGGGAGGTGAACTCTGTGGCCTCGGCACCAGCTTTCTCGATGACGAGGAGCCGTGGTTGCGCTGCTAGATGCCAGATCTGAAGACGTAGTTCAGCGGGCAGCCGAGGAAAGGGGTGAAATGCAGCCATTCTTAGCAAGAGAAAAGAAAATGAAGCGGGGAAGATCACGATTGGGTCAAAAGCGGGAGAGTGTTGACAGAGAGAAGTGGCATGTTCAACACAGAATGTCCAAATGGCATGCTCCTAAAGGATGTTCGATTAGGATGTTGAACCTTGCTGACACTGCTGACGGATGATACTGCATGTGGCTACTGCTGACCAGCAGGTGCCGTGCCGCGCTCTTCTGGGATCTGAGTCTGGGTCGAGCCATCGTTCCACCTGGTCTCAAAAGGAAGCATGGCGTCTCATCACCGTGAAGCTTGGACATCACGATGTGCTGAGGTGGTGGTGACGTGTGACAAAAGCCCGGCACCGAAGCCGTCTGACTCGGCATCTCGACCGAGTGAGCACCGGCCCGGCAGAAGACCCGAGTCATGTGGCCACCGCCTTCTCTCAAGCCCGCACCCAACAGCATCCCCAACACAAAGGCCCACCCCCCACCTGCACACACACACACACACCACCGACGTCCGACAACGGCATTGACGATGGCGAGCTCTGCAGGGTTTCTTCTTCCGTCTGTGGCTCTGCCGCTCGAAGGCATCGTCGGATCCCTCACTGGGCACACCTCTCTCTGACCCCCCCCCCTTGTCCGACGTCACCATGTCGACCTCGTCACCCCCTTCGTCCATCCTCATCATCGGTTCAGGCGTCTTTGGCCTTTCTACAGCCCTCGCCTTGGCCCTTCGTCCAGCCTACGCCAAGACGGAGATCACCGTTCTCGACCGCTCACCCGAACAAGGCGTCTTCCCTTCGCACGACGCTTCGAGCATCGACTCTTCGCGCATCATCCGCCCCGACTACGCAGACCCCGCCTACTCGGCTCTCGCCGCCGCCGCCCATCACCACTGGCGCCACAGCCCCCTCGGCGAAGATGGCCGCTACACAGAGTCGGGCATGGCTCTCATTGCCGACGCGCCACCAGCTCACGTCAAGACGCGCACGCAGATGGACTATGTCCGCGACAGCTACGCCAACGTCAAGCGCCTCGCCCAGAGGAAGGAGTGCGGCATCGACGCCGCCAGGCTCAGCGAGCTGCCGAGCAGGCGCGCCATTGCCGAGCTTGTGGGCCTCAACCCGGCCGACGCCAACGCCGACACCGATGCCGACACGACGCCCGGCGACTGGGGCTACCTCAACGGCAACTCGGGCTGGGCCGACGCCCGGCCGCAGCATGCAGTGGCTGCTCGCCCGCGTGCAGGCGACGGGCCGCGTGCGCTTCGTCCACGGCACGGCCACGGCGCTCCTACACACCGGCGACCGCGTCACGGGGGCCGCGCCTCGCCGACACGAGCACGCTGCTCGCGGCCCTC